GACGTGTATAAAATAACATTTAAGAAAAGTGCTCATTAATAAAAATGCCTAGTCATTACAGTATCGATTTAATACCGAAATTGATATATCGATACTTAAATAAATCACATACATCGATTGAATCCTGTCGACCCTTTTTTAAACTTACGACACTTCATACTGTTTTTGCATTTAGAGCCTTATATTGTGGTTCATAAAGTTGACATTTGTGTGACTGACAGATTTCTTGGCAAAATATTAAGATAAAGATTTTTAATGGTAATGTCGTAATTAAAATCACACTTAGTGTGTAATTGAGTGTAAAGATATGGAACACATTTGTAAAATGTGCCTTTGGCGAAATTTTGTTTTAAAATAACCGCCTCCAAAAAGCAATCTTGATTTAAACGGCGTAATCGCAAAATATTGCAAATCTCTCAAGTATTTTTGTTTCTTATTAGATCATTTGTTTATTTCCGATTTTTGAATTAACTTAAATTTGAAAATCTTTATAATTTCACATGTGTTTGAACGTGTGTTCACATGTGTCGCACGTTGTGAGCCGGGCTGCTCTTCTAACCAATTGACCCGATAGCTCAATTGAGCTACAATGTCATGTGTCTATTCAAATTCCGTAATGTACATGTTAATGAATAAAAAATAAAAATGTTAATGAATTGTTTGGCTACAATAAAAATCTATTGAATTATAATTAATAGTACTCTGCACTGTTGGGGAACAGCGTTATGCAATATATGACCATCAAGTTAACGAAAGTTGTTATGTGACGAACGTAATTGCTGTATGACAGATTTTTTTACTTTGACCCATCGTATAACAAATTGGCTTATTATAATTCCTTTCATTTGGCTTATGTTTTGGAGATCCGCAATACATTTTACTAAAAATCAAACTCATGTATAAAACCTGCGTAAAGAATTTCTACTCTTTTTAATTTTTAAAATATGGTTTGAGGAGTTTTGCGTTAACTAAGTTAACCACTCCGCGAAACGAAGAAACTTGGGAAATTAAGAATGTAAGAATGTCTAAGCATACTATATATAATCCACCTCTTTCTTAGGAAATCAATTGCCAATTATGCTAATTGCCGAAAAGTAAAAGGCAAAACTAGGATTTCTATTGCACTAGCCAGTAAGCAGGCTCTAGAATTTTTGAAAATCAATACCAATGTCAAAATAGCTAGCCTGATCTAAGATTCGAACCCAGTCGAAATCCCCAGTCGAGTAGAATAACTACGTTGTCAACTAAGCATCGTTGATCTAAGTGGTGGTAAATACGGAACACCACAAAAAGTTATTAATGCGCGCTTTAAATGGATCTGCGCGAAATTTATTCGCAAAGTTAATAAATGATAACTCGCTTTAACCCAAATTAATCGAGTTTGCGCTCTCATAAAGATGACACTTGAAAAGGGCAAACAAATTTACAAGGGTATTTATGATAGCAAAAAATATCGCAAAGTTTAGCCGTGAAAACACTCGTCCTGTCTCGCGTAATCTTTTATTTCGTTTTTATTCAATGAGATTAAAAGGGAAACTTACGATACGCACAGTGATCAGCATACGTGAGTTAGCATTTAAATTTAGTCACTTAATATTATTTAAATACATTCTTACCAATTTAGATATACGAATAGTTAGCCGTAGTCTAATCCATTAGCACTGTGATAGACATCGCTTTTTGTCACCAGTGTTATAAGAATCTGACATAATTTGGGTAAGTTGGGAATTACCCTCAATTTTGTATACAATTCTAACCAACCGTTTTATATATCTTTAGTATAACTTTATTTTATTTTTTAATCCTAAGATTGTAAAATAAATTGTAAAAATAAGCCCGGAAAAAGGATGGTGTACAAAAAGTGGAGGTCACTGGCCGATTTTCAATACTACAGTCATTTGTCAAACCGTCAACCTGCCTATTTTTATCACAGACCCTTGGAATACGATTTAATACCCTAAAGTGTTTTATAGATAGACATACACACTGCTTTAATCCAGTTTAAAGAGAACAGTAGGAAAAATCTAAATTTATGCTTATTACATCTGCACCTATGTAGAGTATGCATCTATGGATACGACATTTTAGTTAGTCTGATCTTATTTGAAATTAATAAACACTTTATTTTTCATTGTAATTGTAATGTAATTGTAAATTTATATATGAGTATAGTATTGTATTTGTTTACACGGCCTTACACAGATCCGAAAGTACTTAGAAAAAATAATAAAGATTTGAATGTAAGTTATATGTAGTCTATGGGAAAATTTTTACTTGTGATACTTCCTTTGCTTACTTTCCTTCTTCTTTTAAGCTCATAAAGACTACGTCATAATGGTGCAGATACTCTAAACATCTATTTTCAAATTCATTCAGATTATAGTTAGATCTAACTAAAAATTTCGACAACCGTTGCATTACATTAGACGTATAATCAAGTGTTTAATAAGATAAGTAAATGTTTTAATAAGTATTCGTTTGAGTAGTTATCAAAATACATAAATTACTTTTAAGACCAATATATCAGCTCCTTAAATAAATAATCACGGGTTACAAAACGCCGTTATGTGATTATGGCACGCGCTTATGTGACGTATCAAGGTGAGCAACTCATAAGGCTGTAGGTACAATGCGGACAAACATCTCTTTCTCCATGGATGCTTTGAAACAAAAAAGATTAGTACAACTTGTTTATAGGAAACATACATACTCAAAAAAGAAAATGACAGAACTGTTTTGTCGATAGTTTACACGAGTAAACCCTACATAATTGCGTTCTAAACACTTTTAACGGTTTAAGTTTTTATGAAATCTGGCTTCGAATCCGGGTAAAGCGTGATTATTTTTCTTTTTTTTCATTTGAAACAAACGGACACGGATATGTGACGGATATACCTAACAATTTTAAAATATATTAATAAACTTTTGAAAAATGGTAAATGTTTAACGGTACAGAAAACGCGAGTTATATATCTAGTGCCTTATAAATTATATTTAATACTTATTATGAGTATGTAGGTTTTAGATATTTATAAGTGGTCGTTGTCGGATATAGTGCCGGAAGCAGATTTTAAATATTGTGACTCGAATTAACAGTAATCTTGGGAAGTTGTAAATTTTGCAATACTATTCGTTATGGATCTATTTATTAATAATATTATCTGCAACATGTTATTAAATCCTTATTTTTCTCTGGCTTCAATTTATAAAATGTACACGTCGCTTATTATATACATTGTCGGATATTTTAATACATTTACTTTTCTCACGAAAACCTTCTCCACAAACTGGATGTGTTTACAATAAATAAACCACTTCTAACGATTTCAAAAGCGAAATATTAATGTTAATTAAAAAGACGAGTTAACGTATAGGCATTTTGAACGGTTAAAAGTTTTTTTAAAGATTTATTTACTTCATTTGATAGAAGGTGAAGTTGGTTGAAGACCTATTTTGACTTTAGATATTAAGAATGTAAAACATATATAATATTTAATGAAAGACAGACAGAACAATTCGAATATTTGGGCAAAGCCGAATTTTTAACAGGAAAAATAAAAATAATTCTCGTTCACTTATGCAACAAATTACGAAAGGCGAAATTCATTATAATTTGAGGGCGGGCACTTAAGCCTGCTCAAAGCCTACTTCCGTTTGACAAAAACAGTTGTACATTGTACTGTCGTGCTTCATAAGCTATGCATTGTAGCATCTACTAATGAGTTTGAGCTTCCCTCGCGTTAACCCAGTGGGTACCGTCGAGTACAAAAGTGTTTACAATTCGTTATAAATGGCAACTTTTATCACTTAAGGTAATAAACATAATTTCTTAAAAATTGGTTACAAATTTTAACATTGCTTTGTATTATTAAAAAAAGTAAAAATAACTTTGTAACCGACTGTACATCACAGAAATTATCTACATCTTTTTTTATCACGAAACTTTGTAACGTACTTTGTGGCGTAATTAATAAAATCGACCCTTGTTTTGGCAAAACAATATTTTAAATTTTCTGCTTCTATTAGAAATTTTGTCCGGCTCATTGTAGCAATATTTTGCTAATAATCAAGGGGACATAAGTTCGCTCCCCACTAAGTTGTTTCTAATCAATTTATAACTTCGCTGATTCATGTTTGATTTCGTCTCGAAAATATATATATAATATAATGGGTAGTAGAAATATCACGATTCCGTCCGGGTCAAAACTAGTGTCCACAAAAAGAGGCGTGAAGTTCGGTTTCAGTCTGTGGATATTCGAATATCAAAATTCAAAACAGGTTGACAGCTTGTTTTAATTAAAAGATATATCTCTACCTTCCATTAATCTTATACTTGTCTATCCTCCTCCATCAAAAAAAATCTGTGTGAAAGTGTAAACGAGTACATACAAAATCACAAGAGCGTCTACAATTATCGTATCGTTGGAGATTATCTCGGATTTTTTGTTGTTCGGTAAATCGCATATTTTTCTATTGACGTCTGGAAACAGCAAGCGGGCTTCTTGCAAACCAATTATCTCGCAGACGGTAATCGCTTCCAGCTCGCTAACTTTACGAGCTTCAATTTTCAGACGATTTCAGCGGAATACCCACAATTTTACACAGTTCTGACAATTATTAAAACATAAAATTTTATACCCTAAAAATTGAAGACATAAAAATCTTTAAGACAGTTTGAGCATCGATGGTTAATAGTTATAAAGCCGTTAATTTAATGTCGAGTCGGAAAGTTCATGTTTTAGGTAATCCTATTATATTAATTAGTATTTGAAAACTTTTATGCACATGATTGCACTATTTAAATTAAAAATCGTTTTCAGATTGAGTTGGTTAGGTTAGGTTAGCCGGTACAAGTCTTGTCCATGTAGTACATTTTCTTCAAAATAAAATCGATTTTAATCATAAAGTAAACTAGTATATGGTATGGCTGTAATATTTTAGATAATCATTATAGTTTTTAATGAGAATTACCTACCTATAGTATAAGTAACTTTTGTCTTATGCTTGTAATGTTAGAGAAGTATGGGTTGAAGAGGGATTGAAAGAAATTGATAATTCAGTTTACGTTGAAAACATCTACAACTCGTTTATTCAAGCTCACGTGAGTATTAGGCTAATATAAAATTATGAGCACTTCAGTGAAATATTGCTTAAGACGATACGATGATGTTTAGTAGTTCTTTCAGCAACGGCAGAAAATTTGCTCATACCTTAATAACTCTTTAAAAATATTCATCTTTTCATCAAAACGGCGTCGTAATTTTTTGTCCACTAGTGCAAACTCCTACATATTTAATTTATTAACTAAACGGGATATGAAAAGCCCTCTGAAGCTATATATCTGTTAAAATTTTTAGACTTGACCTTAATTTGAATTCGCAATTAGAAACTAGATTTTCACCAAACAACAAAACTGAAGTCGTTAAATTGAAGTAGTCCATTGTCTAACTCAAACTAAGTTCAATTTATATTCAATATTATAGAGTAACGCAATAGTGTTTTGTTCAAATAATTTCACAAATAGGTTAATACAAAAGGACAAAGAACAATTTCATGTTAATAATAAAGTACAAAAATAACTACTACTACAAAAAAACAAAAAAAATAAACTCTCCAGAGACTAATAATATGTTTTCTAGCTTATTCAAACTCCAAATGAAAAAAGAAAAATGTAATTGTTTTTCTTTGTTTCAGATTCCTCGCTATTTGGTGGCCCCTGAAGTGCCAGATCACAAAACGACGCGCCCGAATGATGATAGTCTTCATATGGATATTCGCAATCCTCGTTACCGTACCCTGGGTCTTCTTCTTTGACCTGGTTGTCGTATTTGATGAAAGCCCACACGTCCATCTCTGCTTAGACGTCTGGCCGAATCCAATAAGCGAGGTACTGTACTTCGTTATCGGAAATTTAATTTTCTGTTATATCCTGCCAATGGTACTGATAACGATGTGCTACATTCTTATCTGGATAAAAGTCTGGCGCCGGTCCATCCCCACAGACACCCAAGATGCACAAATGGAGAGAATGCAGCAAAAGTCCAAAGTGAAAGTTGTTAAAATGTTAATCGCGGTGGTCATTCTCTTTGTCCTCTCCTGGTTCCCGCTGTACCTTATCTTCGCCAGAATAAAATTAGGTGGGCCCATTCAGAAGTGGGAAGAAGAGATGTTGCCAATCGTGACGCCGCTAGCCCAGTGGCTGGGTTCGTCAAACTCTTGCATCAATCCGATCCTGTACGCTTTCTTCAACAAGAAGTACAGAAAAGGTTTCGTCGCGATTGTCAAGAGCAGGAAATGTTGCGGTCGACTACGGTATTATGAGACCATAGCCTTACAGTCGTCGAGTACATCGACAAGAAAGTCCTGGCATTACAATAATAACCACGCATCAATCACTCGTAGATCACCACCCGTGGACAAGAACGCTGTGTCTTTTATCTTCAATCATACCGGTGTCTAATATCTTTGGCAATAAATATTTGGATACAGATTAGGCTCGAAGCCAACATACTGATTGCAATCAGTTCTGATCATATCGTGAAATACTATCTGAAAACCAAGTTTTCTGATCTTATCGTTTAAGTAATAATGATTATTAGGATATTGTGAAACTAGAAGAAATTGTATCTTTTATACGTAAAGGAAACTTTTTGATAAGGTTTTGGTTAAAAGGACAGACGCACATGCGCAAGTAGTTACTTACAAATCAGCGTTACAGCAATATTTTAGGATCTTAGTTACAATACAAGCAAGGATAATGTTTCTTGTTAAAACTTCTACTAAACACCTGCAGTAGTTTTCTCTTGTAACGCCGATTTGAAACACACATATTTTTACTCTATAAGGCCTTTTTTAACGAACTGTTCAATGGTTTCAAATAAATAATAATCAAAGTAATATTATAATAATTAGATATATAACTGTAATATTTAAGCAATATTTATACCAATAAAAAGAGTTTTCCTAAGTTTAATATTTTTAAAGTTATAAACGATTTTTGTATAAAACAGAAAGCAAAGCTTCAAATAAAAATATCTAAATAAATTGCACAATATTTTCGAAGTTATAAACATAACTATAAACTAATACTTAAAGTTATAAACATTTTTATGTAATGATTTGTTGTTGGCTCTTTTATATTGTTTTATAGACATATGTACTTGTACATGGTTTTTTATTTGGTTAGTACTATCAGGTAGTAAATCTTAAGATTTTTTTAACTAAAAAGTCAAACAGAGTATTTTAAAATGACCAACAACATTAAAAGCTATCGATGAATCGCAACAATAATAATATAAGATATTTATAGGTGTAAGATGAACTGTTTGAAAAATTATTTGACATTCTGTCGCATGAATCAAATATAAATCAAAGCTGCAACCATAGAGATAAATGAAAACTTAATGCAAAGTAGGTCAAGTGAAAGATTTCGCTCTTCGCTTGCGTATGAATTGAACTTTAATTTTCAGTTTTGTTACACAAAATCTTTCGATTTAAAAATCGAACATAAATTGAAAAAGATTTCGACTCGGGCATGACTTGAATCGGCATCGTCAGCGTTCCGTGCTGTTGCTCTACCAATTGAGCTATCGACTCCTACACCTCATCGTGGATTTTTTTCAACTTATGCACAACTCACGCAATGTAATCGATCTTTCGATTTTACAAAATCCTTTCGAAAACTACATAACAATTTAACAAGCACTCAAATTAATCACTATTAATCAAAAGCAATAACTGTCAATTATATTTTCTACACTTTAATCTTTTTAGTTAAAAACTCTTGACATATTTAACAGAAATAAAAATTGCATTCAACTGAATATAACATCGACGAACGCCAAATAATTTTCAAGTACCAAACGCCTGATATCAGGTTTAGCCGCTTAGAATGCACAAAAATGTTAAAATTAGTAATAATTATATGAATATTGAATTTTAAGATATTACAAACGATAATATTAATATTGTGTAGTGTTTATTGATATATTGTCTATTTTACTCATCTACCTATAAAGAAAATCATATTTTCGTATCATCGCAGTCTAATATGAAGGTAAAACTATTTTATAAATTTCAAATGATAACGTATATTTGTACTCCATAAGACATAACTTTTGTTAAAAAAATACAAAACTATAAAAAAATGTATTTTTCTACCTAATAGTTCGCAATGGAAAGTTACGTAGCGCTTTTTCTTTTTTCTACGATTAATGGATATTTTTAACATCTCATGCTTAAAGCTTGGTATTCAATTTAGATATTATAAAAAGCACAACAGAATTATTTAAAACGAAGCGTGCAAGACTGATCGATTCGAAGCAAATAAAATCCTTATGAAGGACAAAAATGTATTAAAACCTTTTTGGGAAGGTAATATGTAAAAAAACGTTTGTAGAAAAGCACAATATATGAATGCCATTGAATTTTAATGTTGCTATTAATATTAATTTCGCGCCACTTTTCGATTCTCATAATACACAAAAGTGAGAAAAAACTCTGTTTAGATATGTATGTACATACGGATGGCAAATGTTTATATGGATTGTTGCATTTATATAAAAAATGTTTTATACTATTGTAATTATAAGGTGAATTAAGTATTGAGACAACGGAATATTTAAAAAATAGTGATACAAATTAATATTACACATTCTATTGTACTATAGATTTAATTTAAGATTAATATTATTTTAATTCGAAACTACTTGTAAATGTCGCTTCTATAAAAATATTAATTATATCCGATGTACTTACAGCATTTATTACATATGTATTATAAAATATGATAAATTTGTGTGTCGTGACCTATAAAACAGAGATTTTTTAATTGGACTTGTTGGCCGACTAATCGCTCTACAAGTCGGCGAGTGCAAATTTGCCAGTTGGCGAGTACTCGGTATATTACAAATTATAAACTTATAAAGCTTTTTAAATATCCGAACTCAGATTAGGTCAACAGCAGATCTTAAGATGTTATTTTTACTTTCCATCTAATTCCTCTATGTCATAAAAAAGCTATATGTATTGGTGTAGTTTTAGGGTAAAAACCCGATAAAAAGTAATTTATAAGAATATTACACCTAAGATTGTTGTTACAAAAACTACAAACTAGATATAGAAATATCATTCACTGTAATGGCTTTAAGTTATAATATACGAATACCATGGTGACCACCACCGTCTTCCCATGAGGCCATTTCATTGAACAACCAAAAACAAATAATAATACCAAAATTGTTTTGCCTTTCACTGTGTAAATATGAACAAATTTGTATATTATCGTAAGTTATAATTAATAAACCTTTTGTAATAGATAATAACTGTTCTTCACTCATTTTTAAAGTAAAATCTTGTAAAAAGAGGCTTGTAGTATACTAGGTAATAAATAGACAATTTGTAAGATAATGTATCTATGTATATTCACATTATAAACTTAGTTTGACGTTCGAATTTAGGCGATAGTGGTTGAATTAGCGAATGTTTTAAAATTGTGACTGATTTGACTAAGTTCTTATAGAACGTCGATAGAATCGCTTTGAAAATAGAACAACTATTACAAAATCAGTCACGAAATTAAACCTTCATTGTAATGCAATACTCGTAAATACTGGAATCAAAGCAATCTCAACATATTCATTTTGTACCTACAGTATTAACATATCGGCCGAGTGGTGTTAAATAATTCTACTGTCTTAAACATTTTCAACTTATTTATAAGTTCCTCAACCACATGGTACTAGTTGTTTGTATGACAGCAAATCTATTATTTGTATTTTCTCGGTTTTGGTTTAAAAATAAAATCCCACAATTGTAATGCTATGGTGACAATAAAAAGTAGTTTTTTCAAAAACAATGATACCAAAAATATCTCTTGTCATAAATAAATAGTATAAGCCGCACATAGTCCACAGGCAATATCTATAAAACTTATTGATCAGATGATCATCATAAGGTCGAGAGCTCTAATCTCGGTTGAAAATACAATATTCTAAATAAATTATACTATTATCGTTGTATTGATTTTGAAAAGTGTCATCTAAAACACCGTAAGAAAAGAAAATTCGACGTCACGTCACTTCACTTTGGTATTTGGCTACGTGGTTAATAAAGATACCGTCATAGAACGCGTGTCCCAGCAGTGGTAACTATTAAAGGCCTGATAATCTTGTGGCCTCTCTACATTATTCTCTGTACCTTCACGATAGTGACAGCCACCAACTAAAAATCGAAGTGTACTTCGATTCATAAATTGAATATAAGCGCTTTCAACGGTTTATAACGCAAAATGTACTAGTTAAACTTATTTACTAATGATCTCACTACTGCCCGACGATTCAGATACTTTTCAGTAAATAATAAGTTTCACGGCAAGCCTAGTAAATTTCGCGTTTTAAACCGTTAAAAGTATTTTATGTAAAAGTGTAACAATACAGACAGACTTGACGAATTTAATTTCAATTTTACGCTACTTCGATTTCTAACTGTGTGAAGGAAACTGTGTGAGGCCCTTAATGAAAAGAAACCGTTAGGTTTTTAGACCTTTATATTAACTGTCATGATATCTCTGTGACGAAAGTAACGAAGAAGCATTATCGTTCTGTACTTAATTTAGAGATTTATTCATAATCTACTAACGAAAATCAAACCAGCATAACTGCGCACACGCCAGTGTTTGAGTAAAGTCAGGCTTTGAATAAAATATACCTTTGTAAATGTTACACTATCATGCATTTTACAAAAACTGTTTGTAATTGCTTAACTTTTATAACATTTTCTACAATATTTCTGAATGATCAATGCGATAGTGTAGCACCACTGTGTGAATAGATCTAGAAATCTAGATAAACCGCTGTATTCGCTTACACATATTGCAAAATTGGATTGTAATTGAAGAAAATAAAATAAATTATATATACATTCCGAGTGTTATTTATGTAACTGCCTAAAAGCCCTGAAATATTGAATGAAGCTGTATTGAAAAGATTTTCAAAGTCCGAAACCAGGGAAGTAAAATCCCGATTCCCCCCGTGGGGCATGGGGCGAATAATTTCTCTGTGTGTTTCACTGATTTTTCCAAGTAGACTGTGCCTTGTCCGACCGTAACAATCTATCGTTTCCCCGGGATCCGAACCCAGGACTCTTAACGCAATGCTACACGGTAAGTAATCATGGCAAGGCTAAATATTATAGACGTCTGACCAACTATGTCCTGTTAATAAAATTCTATCAGTGTAAGGAAAACAGGAATATTTTCACCAAATAAGAGGGAAAGGAGGAAAAGTATGCCAACGTAGGTAATTAGTAATAGAGTAATGTGTTTTTAGCGAAGCTCATAAGCTACATTTTGATAGAAAAATACTATAAATTTTAGAGACTTTTTTTCAACATTAACAAGCTCGTTGGTCTAATGATAGCAATCGTCGGGTCGTGGGTTCGATGTAGATTAATAATTTTTCT